GGCTAGATATTAATATAACGCATTTCGCATTATGAATGCATGTCGTCACGATTCTAGGCCAAGTATTGCGTATACCTTCGTTAGCTGAAGTAGTGAAACGCGTAGGCAAAATTGATTATAATGATGAAATGAGTGCAGTTGACGTAAATTAACGTGCTTATGTAACTTGAAAATTACTTCATATAAAATCCATTCTTCTGCGCGGCTTGGCTTTAGATGACATGACACCCTATTTACGTTATTTTGCTTTACACTGGTTATTTTTATTCAAGAATATTTAGCTATTGGATAGTTTATTTATACATAATATCCTTTTTTATATTAAAAGTGAAAGAACATTAATACATTTAAGTGTTTATTATGTATTTATAATAATTAATAATATATAAGTAATTTAATTTACAATTTTTAGTGCTTCATTTTTTTGTAATCAATAATGGATGACTTTTTATAAAAAAATATTTTAGTAATTCAACACGAAAATTTGATAATATTTTTGTACCGATTACTCGTATTTCTAGTTTCTAACTTATTTAATAATGAATATTATAAACTAATTCCTTCATATGTTAAGGTAGGATTATATTTAATTAAAATGCACGTCTCCAATTAGAAAGCACATGTTTACATGCAGTCGCTTACAGAGCCGCTCGTGCGATGACTCCGTCCCTTATAAACTTTTAATTACGTCCGAGCGTGTAGAGGCCGAGGGTCTGCAAGTAGCCGTAGCTACGCACGCCGTGCTACGCACTCGAGCATGGTAAACTGAGAAAACATTTGTCATAACTCCTAACTGTAATCTGACTCGCCTTTTAAAAATCAGAATGACACTTATTTCATGTTAAATATTATTACATAATACATATTGGGGTTATTTATTACTATTTTAATTTTACCTATTTGATGAATTATTATGTATGTAATATGTTATACCAAGTGTAAATTATGTCACCCATTGTGAAATAAATATATATAATGAAATATATTTTTTATAAATACAAGATTATTACAGATTTTTTTTAACATTTCAAAAACAAAAATGTCTATAGTTCACGTATGCTAATGAAGCTAGTTAGATTATAAACCAACAACAACTTTTTCCATACAAAGGCAAGCGCCCACGTGGATAACAATCCATTCGAAATTTCATTACGTATAGCGAAGGTATTAAAAATGATCGATATAGATATTTGCATACAAGACCTTTATGGCTTACGCCCCCGGCTACGTATGCGTTTAATTTTATGTTGTCAATGCAAAGCCAATTAATTGATTTGCAACTCTAACAGAATTCAGTTTTTTAGTTTGCTTTTCATAATAATTATTCATTTTATATATATCTAGCAATAAATTTTTATTTGTTATGTAAACATATATGAATTTAAATTTTGAGGAAGGATTAGTACAGTCGTTACGTATCTAAAACTATAAATCTACGTCTATTTCTATATTATAAAACAAAAGGAACATTAAGTTTAAAGACATTCATTTGAATTTTAAGACGTATTCCATCGACTTTAGTAGTGGCCGTGTTAACGCTTTACGTGAACCAACGTACCTTGCTTCGGTACTATGGGTGATCGTAAAAACTTTTAATTATTTCGGTGCAAATAGTTCGGGAGACGGCAAACGTAAAGCTTGCATTCTTTACCGCGAGTACCCGCAAACCGTAAGTGCCTTGTTTTAAAGTGTTGTAAAACAAGCGTAACCCACGCTTTCGACGCTCTGTATATATGCCCTCTTTAAAATATAAGAATCTCTTAAGCTAGAATAATTTTTACTCCATTTTTCGGGATATGAGGAAAAGATATTTGATATAATGATCTAAGATTTTAATAATTTAATTTATTCATTACAAAAACACGCATTACCAAGCCATGCCATGATAAAATTGCACATTTCATTTTCAATTTTATCTCTAAGCTTACAAAAATATCGTATAATAAATTAATATAAATGTATAATCTTATTGTAGAGTGACTATAATTTAATTAGGAGACACGGGAAAAGTATGGATTTATTCATAAAAGCAAACAAACAAACGGTAATTACTCTGAAGTAATCTGATATTAATACATAATATCCATACTAACATTATAAATGTGATAGTGTGTTTGTTTGTTGGTCCTTCTTTCACGTCGAAACGGAGTGACGGATTGACGTGATTTTTTGTGTGGAGATATTTGAAGGGCTGGAGAGTGACATAGGCTACTTTTTACCGCGGGAGATCATCTTATTCCCACGAGAAAACACGTTATAATAGAATCCAAAAAAATATTTATGATCAGAATTACTTGAAACTTGGTATTAATACTCTTCAATAAAATTAAATAAATAGGTGTTTTAGCATTTTTCTAAATTCATCATATTATAAGGGTGTAAAATAGGGGATGAAAGTTTGTATGAAACTACCTATAGAATTTTTTTTTAATTTAAGCGCAAGCGAAACCGTGGGTTCTGCTAGTAATTATATATAATATTAATAATATAAGCTGTAATAAAATATATGTATGAGTAACCTTGTCTACTACGCGGGTTTGTATGCTGTAGTTAACATCTCGATCGATAATACTTATCTAGATGTTACACCACACTATACAAATATATCCATTTAATATGGTGAAGAATTGAATATGAATAGAACAATTAGAAACTGTTAAGCAATCAGATAAACCTGTGGGACAAAAATATTTTTACTTTTATTGAATTGTAAAATATTGCTGGACTTTGGTATTTGATACAAAGAGTAAAGAATAGTTTTGAAATGGATATAAACATAAATAGTTTCATTTTTCTGTATTTAGACAAACAAACCTGTGGGAATAAGAAGGTTTTAAAATGTATGTACAAAATTTTGATACAATTTTGCATAAAGAGATAAGCACGATCAAAGGATTGCTTTCAAAGTGGTATACCTGGCGAGCATATTTAAGTTTTCATAAAGTGAGGAAATGGAAAATAAATTGGATTTGTATGAGTATCTTAAAGCTACATGAGGCAATATTTACTTTGTTTCCCGCAAGAATTAGCGACACTGTCATCACTTTGTTCTCGATTATCTCGACTGATAAAGACCTTATGCTCGTCTCATTTTAAATTTATACGTATTTTTATTTTTATTATACGTATTATATTTTTATGAGTTTAAATATCCTATTTATACTCACAAAATTAGATTGAAAGGAAAATTCAAAATACCTTAAAAAATAATAATAACAACAGGCTTTCAGGAACTATAAAGTAAAAAATAAATAAACGGAGGTTTTCATTTAGAATAGATACCTAATCAGATATTTTCGGAGTCAGACATATGCATAAGCTATAAACTCTATATGTAGTTTAATATCTTCTTCACAAGTAAAACAGATAAATAAACCTCTTAAAGCATTTCAACGAACAAGTTAGGTCGTATTTAACGGGTAGACAGCTTCTGATACAAAGAGGAAATACATTAACATAGCAACTTCAGCTAACGCGTTCCGATGAGAAGTTTGAAACATTTTCACAGAAACTTTTCTATATGCGAACGCTATTGAAAGCCCCTTCCAGAGATTAACACGCGCTGTGATAATAAGCGCTTAAGGATTACTCGCACGGCGAATATGACGTTGCGAGTTGTCTTATTATAAAGAACGGTACAGTCGGCAACGGCTATTGAAAAAAAACGGTTGCTCTCTAAAGTGATACATTTGTGAAAAACAAGTTATAAAAAATAGTTATAGGCACTTTTTGTTAACAATCTATCTATCTCTATCTATTCGTTCCTTTTTAACGTCCCACTGCTGGGCACGGGCCTCCCTTTAGTACGAGGGGGATCAGGCCATAGTTCAAGACGCTGGCCAAGTGCGGGTTGGCGGACTTCACATATCTTTCGAAAACTTGTTAGGTTCTCTCAGACATGCAGGTTTCCTCACAGAAATGTTAGGTTAGGTTAGAAATGATTCGCACATGAAAATATGAGAGGTGCGAGACCCGGAATTTGAACCCGCTTCACTCGGTTTCACAAGCGAGCGCGTTACCACTGGGCTACCACTGCCTTTTTTGTTAACAATAGTTAAATATTATTACTAAAAGTTTTTCAATGAAGTAAGAAAGTCGAATAAAGTTAAAAACTTTTGTTTTATAGTATTTAATATGAAACAGTTTTCTCATACAGATATTTTTTTGTTGTTATACTCTTCCAGCTTTTTATAACTCAGTACCATCTGTGAATTTGATTCATTTGAGACTACAACATGTTGTTTGACCGATGAGAAAGGTTAGGTTTTTAATTGTCTTGGAATCATCATTTAAAATTACTTTCCTTAATTATTATTTTTTTGCAAAATTGTTAATATTGTATTGAATGCTTTATAATATATTATAAATCATATGAAGAGATCTTATTGAAAGCTTTCTAAAACTATTTTCTTATAACAGAAATTTAATTTGAATATTAAATTTATTTATTTACATTCTATTAAAGGGTTTCCCAATTGCAAATCATTGTCCAACAGTATTTACCGAATAATTTTAAGCTTCGTTTCTCACACGATTGATTGACTGAGGCATCAAGCCAACATTGGGGAATCGCAAACATTCCAATGAAGTGTGGAGTCATCCCAACAGTTAACTAGATCTTTGAACACAGTTTGGACTTCGGTCTGATCGTGTTTGCCAGGTATTCAGTAGTTAGACTCTGAATTGCGGGTAGCTTCTTTGTGTTTCGAATTCACAACTCGCTAACTAGCTGCCGGTAACTGCCACTTACCGCCAATAGAAACGCGACCTAATTAATATTCATTTTTAACATTACCATATAAACAATATATTAATGTGTAATTTTAGACTGGTACTATTTTTATAAGAATAGAAGCTCATATTTCCTGATTATGAGACTATATAGATTTATTATTATTTTTTGCATTATATGTACCTATGTACATTATTGTAACCGACGAAAAAAATCGATTCAATCGAAATCAATTCGGCACATATATTTTTTAAGTAAAATATTATTAGAATAATATAGATTGTTCCTTGTTTTTAGTGGCATGGTGTTCGCAGCAAAGTAGCGGAGGTCTTATAAGGTAATTTCTTAATAATTTGACCCTTTTAGTAGGTGTAAGTGAATTTATAATGTATTTCTTGCGGTATGGATTTCGAAAGAAATTTTGATTCATAGGCGGCATAACATTTACGTTTCGCATAATAAAATTATAATATGGTAAGAGAGCTATTGGTTTATGATTTGAGGTATCGAATCTTCTTGTGGCGAGAGGTGCAATTTTTACAGTTGCTTTTGTTGGAATTTTATCATTTTCGTATAAGGTTTTGATTTCATTTACTTCTTTAAATAATTTCTCAAAAGTTTCATTTAACTTTAAGACATTAAACTTATTATAATCGCTTTTATCGGGATTATTTCTTAACTCTAGAACATTATTGGTATCTTCATATTCTTCAGCTGTTTTGTCGGCATTTCCAAAATAAGCCTTATTTATTATTATGTCAGGATAATTTATGTTTTCATTTTCTAAAAGCAGATTGTCATTGTCATTATTTTTTCCTGTTCCTTCCTTTGTCACTGTATTATCAGATTGAATTATATATTCCATGGACTTGGGAACATAATCTATTTTTACAGTTGAATTATCATTATCAGATTGCACTTCTTCCTTATGCGTCTTAGCTTTTAATATACGCATGTCGTTAAACTTATAAACATCTTTAAAGTTTTCTTCATATTCATTTTCTTGTGCAAAGCTTATATTAGATAAATTATTAGGCTTAACTTTTCCATCAACATTTGGCTTGGCTTTTATATAAAAAATGTTAGACCCATTTTCTGATTTTGATTGCACAGAAGTTACGTTAATATTATCACTTTTAAAGTCATTATGGATCAGTTGCTGTAATATTTCACTGAGACTTTTTGGTAAATTTGACTTTTCTGATAGTGTAAAATTACCTAAATAGAAGAGTAAAATATCTGTAAAAATATCTTCATTATTGTTTATATAATTTTATGAGCAAACTAACGACAACGAGGAAAGTAGGTATATTTATCAAACTTACATGAAATTATCACCATATTAACTTTGGAACTATACTCAACGTCAGTAAAACTCAAAATATAACAATGTTGTGGCTGTAACGCTTATCGATATATTGATTAAGAAAATTTAAATAGCATAAGGAATAATTTAATTAAGATGTAATGTTATTCCACTTGTGTTTAATCGCATCAAGCCCATTGATTTGCTATGGGTCATTAAGATAAATAGAACATAAACTAAAGTACGTAAAGAATATGTTAGTATATTGAGTTTATTATATTGATATTTAAAATACTTCTTTGTTCCTCTTAAATAAAATATTATTATAATGGAAATTAAATATTTCATTTTTAATACAGATAGTGGTACGCTTAGTTTCTCTACTAGCTTATAGCTTATAACACTTATACATACATGTCATACGCTTTGTCATTTTCACATATTTTTAATTTTCTATTAGATTCTATGATCTACTGAATAAAAGAATTAAATTCTTGTCTAAACCCCATGATGTAACTGCTGTGTCCAAGAGTAGACAATTAATTGTTACTTTTAGTTTGGATGCTACAGTATTCATAAGTATATCATAAATAATGCCTTTCATGAGAGAAAACATATCGAACAGGCTCTTGACATCAAGTTAATTAAAAACACAATCGAACAATAAAAACTTTTAATTTTCGCATCAACATTTTACAAGTGATTGGAGTCTGAAAAAAGCAATCTTGGTTATCGGTGCCTTGGTGGACGGCATCGGAACGGCATCAAGTAAACAGCCGCGTTCGTCCTGCATTTCAATCGACTCTATTTGTATTTTATTGGAGACGAGTCGCTTCGAGGCCAAGCGCCACGGACCAAAGCTTTATGTTTTATTGAGTTCTTTTTATGAGGCTTACTCAATAATAGACTTTGATATTAACAGAAACGGAACTGTTTAATTAGCTCTTTCATTAACTTATGTAGGTCAAATTTAAATTCAATTCAATATAGTTTGTGCGACGTGAAAATGTAAGAAACACGTGCTAAAGTGTATTACCACAGATGCAATCTTTAGAATTTAATACATGTTTTAAGACCTTTTAATTTCCTTTTAATTATTGTGATTTTACAATAACAAAAATTTAATAAAAATATACTATTTTTCATATGCTATTATTGTTTGTATTATATCTTTTTAAGTAAATAATCGTAAATTTAATAAATATTCTGTTTTACTACACAGTTCTTTGTGTGAGACAGAAGAAAATATTTCAATCAAATCAATCCACTCTACTTTTATTTCTTGGACAATCAAACATCACCAAAATGTAGTATGAGCTGTCAACAGCTGGTATTGCAGTCAATAATAAAGTCAATTACCAGCCACTTTGCATTCCATCATCTCTTATAATAATAATTTTCTAATACGACATTATTACGAGTAATCGCTAAAATATATTTTTATTAATCTGTGAAACACTCCTTAAGAATAAAAAGGCGTGACTATATAGCGTGGAAAATTTTTCAGAATAAAAAAAAATTACATCGTAAAACAATTTGATAAGAGTAAGCGTTTGTACAGAGTTGCATCACACATGAAGATCGCTCATGTTGACACATGGCTATTTGTCCACACGCAGTTGCTGGAATAATTGAGGTGTACATTTTCACTTTGTTCCGTTTCCATTCGATTAAAATCGTTGTACCTCACCTGTATACAACCTATTCGGCGCTTACTAAACGATTTGAACAGTTCGACGGTTTGCGCATCCGAGCGCGCTTTTTTGCGTTGCCCACTGTGAAATAAATTCCGTCTTCTGAAAAAATTGTTTTAAAACACGCACGTACGAATTTGTGACGCACTACACGATTGAGATAAATGTTCCGGAATTTTCATTTTATTCTTTAAAAATATGGAGCTATATTTATTTGTCATTATTCAATAAGAAACATGGTGATTCTTTTAAAACCTTAAGTAGGAATAGAAATAGCAGGTAACAAGCGCAGTGACCACCAACTGTGAAATCATTATTAAACGTAAGTTTATAACGGTTGGTTACAGGCTAGTTTGAATTATATTGGCTACTGGGTCTCGCAAGTCATCCGCGTACATTTTATGAGCTTCTAATAAAAATTTTATCGTGTAACAGTAAAGAAGCAATCAGTCTGCTGGATATTGGCCTGCAGGGTCCGTAAACACGTGCATTTTTATGTACGTTTGTATTAACCGCTTTTCACATTTGTGAACGCAACCACTTCTCTTGATTACTGATACGTCGGAACTGCCAATTACAAATTGAAAAAAAAAATGTTAAAAAAGATATAAAATTTAATGCTTTCACAGCACTATCAGAATTTACACGGCTTAAAGGATATAAATCATATTTTATAAACGATAGACATCAAAGGTTAAATTTAATATACTTTAGCTCTCATAAGCTTAATATAGCATATTAAATATAAACCTTTTTTTATAACATTAATGTATCCAAATTAAATCATCGGTCACCATTCAAAGTCCTTGGGAGCTATGAGAACTATAGCCTGTTATGCAATCTGCGTAGACACGAGATCCCGGCAACGGCGGGGCTGTCACGCACGCCGTGCTGTTCGTTTGACGAGGATTTACCGACCTATACTAATATGTTTGTGCGTCTCGTCCACCACTGTCAACACTCGATAGTTGTTGGAACTCGTGTTTCATTGAGCCATCAAGTAATATAAATATTAACAATATTTGTATCACTCATTGATATGACGAATGATTTTTTAAAATCCAATTGATTTATCGGGTTAAGGAAATGTGTCGCATGTTTTACTGCACACAAATCAAATAGGTTGCGAGTGACCAAGTAGGTCACTAAGTCACTAATTTAAAATAAGTCTCTTTTTTATTTCTGCACATCTTTAAAAGGAAAAGACTTTAGTGTAAAAATATATGATTAAATTGTGGCATTAAACTAGATTTTATAATATATTCCATTTTTCTTATTTGCGAATTCTGAAGAAATTATATTGGCTTTTCCATATGTTTATATGAGAACTCAACGTGAAAATAATTCTACTTCGCAACAGCTAATTCAACTTTATACGAGTTCTAAAAACAGGTAAAACAATGCTCAACTTATAATAGTGTGTTCGATGCAATTGGCAGTTAATTTGTAGCACATCCAGCCTTGTATTGTGACGATTTTTTAAGGCTCTCTTTTTGTTTGGTAATAGGTTTATTGTACAGTTTGTATACTCTCATTTCGTAAATAGCTTAAATCTACAAAAGAATTTAATTATTAACATAGTTTTTATAAAAAATATGGAACTTAATAAAAGTTTTCGAGTACCTAATTTAATACGTTTCAAACATGAGCACATTAATAGCGCAAATTCGAGGCGTCATAAAGATGGTATATTAAGAGAGCTCTTAGAAGCAGTGAAGGTGTACGATTATTATATTTGAGTGAATTTCGCGAGCAATCTTCGGCCACGTCCGTCCGCAACGCAATAAAACCGTCTACTTATGTCATAATATTCATATGTGATGAACTCTAAAGTTAGCGAATTACTTCGTCGCTTTAATAAAATTTTATTAAGAAACGAGTTATGTTTAGATGTAATTAATATTTGAAATGTACAGGTACTATATTTGAATTTGGAATAATTTACTTAGTCTATTAATATGGGTCTTACGTAGGATAAGTAGATAATTATTGCATTATAATATTGTAAACAATTGTTATTTTAAAAGAGCAACAGAATTTCTCAGCACATCTGCCTTCCGAGCCGGTAGTACTGACTACATATTGTAAACAATTGTTATTTTAAAAGAGCAACAGAATTTCTCAGCACATCTGCCTTCCGAGCCGGTAGTAGATTCCTGACGGACTGACTACATTAACTTTTAATTTAAATTTAAAATGTAAAATTGACGATTTAAAAGTGCTTGTAAAAGTATATTTGAATAAAGTATAATATTTTAATTTGATTGAATAATAATAACGTTTCCATTATATCATCTAAGGTACATGTTTAATAAAATAGTAATAATACCAAATTTTTAAATGAAATATTTTTTAACAACTATTAATGTATGTATTGTATACGGAATATGGGTAGACCGTAGAACCCAAAACAATTGTTGTTGAAATTTTGGCCATACACTCTTTATAATGTATATCTGTGTGCATTTCTCGCAAAAAGTACTGAGCATATTTTAATTAAATTTTGTGTAGTAACAACTTATTACTCGGGTCAACATTTAGGATACTTTTTACTACAGGAAAATTTCTCATTCCCACGGGAAAACACTGGTCGACCGAGTTGTCCTACATAAAAAAATCAATGATTTTTTACACAAAAACTTTCAATAGCATGGTTATCATTAACACATTTAATATTTGAGTGCAGTAAAATCTCTCATTTTTATGGAAAATTTATGGAAAAATGTAAAATTTAGTTTCTCCGCTTACTTCTTCTAACTCTCGCTACGGATTTTGGCATAGTTTTCCCTAATAGAATGAGTAAGAAGGATTACACACACATACAGAGCAAGGAATGTTTGTGTATAGAATTTGTAAATATTTTATAGAAAACGGCTAAGTTATGACGATGTTTTGTCAGAAAAGTATCTATCTCGTAAGGTACGCTCACAATAACTATTTTTATCTATTTAAAACTGACTAAGGTAGGCCTATTTCTAGTACCGGTAAGTAGGGCGTTGTTTATTTAAAATACCTTAACGCGGACAATTTAAAATAATTTTCAACAATAAAAATTTACTGTAACCAGTAATAAAAGAGGTAATTTTTGCCTCAAAATTATTCTGCTCCTTGTAACTTCGAAATAAACATAAATATTTTAGAATAAAAAAAAGGTTAAAACATTTTTGATTTCTATAACATTTTATTTAAAGAATTCGCACTTTGATGTGGCATTTCGCTGTTCAATTGGTTCAGAGTTATATTAAAAAGCATTTTATACGTTCTGATATTTTTTCATAGAGATTCAAATTATAACTAATGCAAAAGGGAATGTAGAGCAATTGATATGATGTTGAAAACATCAGAATAAATAATAAACTAACTGATCCGCTAATTCAATAAAGATTGCAGGCTCTACTTTGATACATCGGTCATGTTGTTTTCGCGATTGGAATTAATTTCATAAATAATTTATAAAGCATATTTGGAATGGGTGAGTGCTGGGCAGATGGAAATGCACTCGGCAAATTGACTGAAAACCGCAATCGGGAAAAGGCTAAATACCTGCTAATGATGGTTTGATTGGAGCTTTTAACTTTATTGAAACTAATAAAAAAGAGCGACAAAAGCGAAATAAATTGCCCTTATATTTATATTAGTAATAAGCTGTGGCAAGTAATATTAATTTTATACTAAGATCGCTTGAATTCATCACTAACTCAAACGAGCAACTGGGTACAGTAACCTAAAAAAAGATCGT